AACAATTTTTTTGTAATCTATACAGATTATATGTGTATTGTACATTGCAAAGATACTTATCGAAATTTCTCGTGAATAAACGATGAGAATGAAACGGACACGAAGTACACCCAGACTCAACAGTTCGAATTCAGAACAACAATTCGTGGAACAGATAAAGTTTTGTCTCAAGTGGGGATTGCCCCCACAACACACAGCGCATTCACTTAAACCGTTACGCCATCCGTGCATTCAACTTCATACGATACGGTTAAACTGCATGTCACATTACTCGTACAAGATATTTGTTGATATTGAGCATATTTTTTCAACTTCACTACCTTTCGCCCAGACTATGATTTCGTTGATATACATTTTATTAGTCCAAACATTGTCCTTTTAAGAAGAGTACCGAAATGATTTCGGCGTTCCTATTAACTTTTCTGTACATCTGGCAAATATAAAACTTTTTATGATGAACAATTGAGTCGTTAAACTATTTTCTTGTTGTTCAAACAATACTCAATTCTAATCGTAACCTCGTTGGCGCATCTTGTTTAATAATGCGTATTTAGAATACTCCTACGTAATTATATATAAATATAAGCCACTTCATTGTGCCTCTTAATCAATTTATATTCGACCCGTGTTGGATTAACTTAAGAAAGGAAAATTTGGTTCAAAGGAAACGACGATTAATAATAGTAATAGACGAGGAACAAGTTCGGAAACCAACCTTACATAAAGATAAATTTACAATGGTTCAAATTTCAGCACCGCCTCAGGTAAGACAAAAGTAAATGTCTGCTAATATTAAGAGAGGTATATTTGATATCGGCAAAACATTCATTAGTATAATCTTGAGGTAAAACACTGACACTACTTGTCATTGAACAAGATAAGTTCGTGCAGTCATGGTCCTAACGTGACGTCATTTGCTTGTTACACTGTTTGAAACTTGAGTAAAACATCGGAACGTTTTCAAACCCGCCTGTAGTAGATAACGTGATGCGTTGTCTGATTGAATAATGATAATGGAAAATGCTAATGCTAATTGGTATTTTTAAACCATTCAAATTAATGGAATATATTCCTGCCGAACAATGGTTCATAGAATAAATTTAAAATTGAATAAAACCGCAAGATGAAAACTTGACACAAACCCTTTACCAACCCGTCTAACCAGCGTGCTATAATAGGCCAAAACCTGCTTTCTAAGAATACGAATTGTGAAGACTCTTTTTTAGGAAGTAATTGACACTCGCAGCGACAATACGAGTAGTATTAACATTTAAATGTTAAATATCATCAATCTATCATCAATAGCCTTTAATAGTCCACTGCTGTACATAGGCCTCTCCTTGGAAAGGAGGTTTAGCTTTAGGAATATAGCGGTATCATCAACAACCTTTAATAGTCCACTGCTGGACATAGGCCTCTCCTTAGGAAGGAGGTTTTGGCCTACTATACCACGCTGGCCAGACGGGTTGGTATAGGGTTTGTTTCAAGTTTTCCTTCTCTCTGCAGTGCTGTTGTCCTGCGTATTTAGCTCCCTTAGTCGCCTCTTACGACACCCACGGGATGAATAGGGGCGGTGACACTCTGTATTCTTAATCCGTCACCACACGGATATAGCGGAATAAATAAGCTGAAGTGGCAAAGCAAAAATCTATTTCAAGGACCCACGTACGATCCCAAGCCTTTTCATATTTGTATGCCGTGACGGCCATAATTTATTCATCCTCAGCGTCATTAGTCGGCGAAGAAATATTTTATTAAAAAGAAAACGAATGAAGAACACGGTTTATTACAATTTATAATGATGTAACCGCATTGATGTATGTGATACTTTTACAAAAGTAAAAAACAGACGAGAAGACTCAGACAAAAAAAGTTATATTAACTATGACGTATTTCCTTACTTTAGCAATGATGTAATCTTTATAACCACATTTCAGAGGTAGCAACTGTCACAGAAATAACATTATTTGGATTGTCTTCCATAGAATTACCTCTCCATTCCTTTTTTACTTTAAAAAAGTAGCGTTGAGGCTTGGTTGACAAAAAGAAACGATTTGAAGTTAGTTTATAGGTTTGTTGTATGAAACTTTTTTTACGTAGTTACGTATAAAGTAATTGTATAAACTTTCTTACAAAAAAAAAAGTTTTTTTTAGTTTTAGTCGGTTATGTAATAAATGCGATCAATCGTAATATAATAATCTTAATTCACATCAATCATCATCAACAGCCTTTACTAGTCCACTGCTTGACATAGGCCTCTCCTTAGAAAGGAGGTTTTGGCCTACTATACCACGTTGGCCAGACGGGTTGGTGTACGGTTTGTTTTAAGTTTTCCTCCTCTCTTCAGTGCTGTTGTCCTGTGTAGTTTGCTTCCTTAGTCGCCTCTTACGACACCCACGGGATGAATAGGGGTGGAGACACTCTCTGTTCTTAATCCGTCACCACGCGGACAAATCTTGATTACTGCACGGAAATTTACTTATATTTATAAACGTAATTACGTAAAACGTATGTTACGTTTTGACGCCAAAACTCCTCAATCGATCATCAAAAATTTTAGCATGTACATTGTCAAGGGTACATAAAAGGACATAGTATAGTTTCCAGCCAGAAAAAGGGTTCTCTCTCGAGAATTATTTGTGTCAATCTCAAGTCAGCAGGTTATGAATAGCTAACTTTTCTCTTTAATTAATAGTAGGTACTTAAGGTATACAAATTATATTACACACAGTTTTATACCTACATTATCTCCGAACCGAGAGGTAGCCCTTAGGTATCAAGGACCAGGATCGAGTTACGGCTTTAATGAGCGGTCACAAATCGCCGTCAAGAACTGGCATTAAATTAATAGCCATATTTGGAAACAAATTTGCAAACACACTACACACAATGGGGACAAAATACAAGGATAAATAATCATTACTTACATTAGTATCTCACAACGGCAGTGTGTGTCTGATAAACATACTTATATATTTCTAAATACATACATGTTATAGATAAATTACATCCAGACATATAACATATGATCGCCTTTATCTCACAATTATTTGTCTTGTGTAGGATTCGAACCCACGTCCTCTGGCTTAGCACTAGACCAAGAGGCGAGTCAGTTATGAAAAATAATCTTTTAGTAAACCCACGATCTCCTTTACAATGCATTACACAAGCCGTACATTTTGTGTAGGTGCCTTTGTGGCCGGGCACGCCGTCATTGCGGCGGTAAGACCCGTTATGGAGGATTGGCTCGAGAGGCGTCACGGGACCCTCTCATACCGATTGACGCAGGTGATCACTGGGAAGGGATGTTTCGGAGATCACCTGTGTCTGATCCGCAAGGAGCCAACGCCTGAGTGCCACCACTGCGATGGCCAGACCGTGGACACGGCTCTCCACACGCTGGCAGAGTGCCCGGCGTGGGTTGAGCAGAGGCGAGACCTCGTGGCGGCCATCGGAGTGGGAGTTCTCTCGCTCGATAGCCTGATTGCGGCTATCGTGCGGAGCGAGAGTGCGTGGAACTCTGCCGTCTCCTTCTGCGAGCAAGTTATGCTCGCGAAGGAGACGGCGGAGCGGGAGCGGGAGAGGTTTAGAACTCTCCCGGCCCGCCAGGCCCGGGCACGGGCCAGGCAGCGCAGGCGACTCAGGCGCCGGAGGTCGCAGAACGACCTCCGTCCTCCATAAGCGCAGGCCTGGGGGTGACAGGTGAGGCCATCTGTCACCCTAGCAGAAGCAGGCCGGGGTGGCGGCGAGCGCGTTGCGAAGCGCGCTCGCTTCCAGGGAGCACAGGGAACATGGGGTTCCCACACGGGGCGGGGGTCGTCTACTCGTCTGTAGATGACCCGAGGTATGTCGGGGCACCAGGGCCTTCCTTTCTAGGGTATACCTGGTTCCCCGGCTATTAGTACCCGGCGAAGGCGTGCGGTTTTAGTCGGTTCGAGTCCGACATGCCACCGACAGGTGGTATCCGAGGGGATTTCCGCACGGAAAAAAAAAAAAAAAAAAAAAAAAAAAAAAAAAAAAAAAAAAAGGTGCCTTTGTGGAATGTGTAAAGCAAAATAAAAGCTAGGATCTGGTGTAAAAGAGAAGACTACTCTTGAGCCGGAAAGCACGAGCTAGAGAGAGTTAAGTAATGTTTGTGAAAGCTGAGAACTCACGTGAATAAACAATTCAAATGGACTTTAGCAGTATACGTTGTTATTAAATAACAAAAATTGGTTTTGACAGGTCTAGAAGGTTAGTCATACTGACTCCTGTGGTAGAATTCCTGCGTTTGATTTCCACTCAGGACAAATAATGGTGTATCAAGCACGGTGATTTATTCTGTGTCTGAGTGTAAATTTTCTATGAGTGTAATTAGTAATATTTAATTATTTATACCATACTATACATTATTATCACAGATAGACCAATACAATAATGCAAAACTTACAATAAAAACAAAATAATCTATGATAAAATACGTAAAAACATAAAATTAAAAACTAGAGCTAGTCAGTACACAATATATGGTCTTTGTGAACTCATTAAGCGAACACGTAATAATGTCAACATGATCCGACGGTTCCGTTCAGTGAATATATAATTATATATAATGGCAGTCTGGTTACCGTATCGTACAAGCTCTGCCTAGTACCTACATAAAACAGATAATAAATTAAGACACCATTATTGTTTACCAAGTTGATTTTTAATTAGTTAATTAGAAGACTTAGTTACCACCGACTATTAGTGCTAAAATGCGTTACTTAATTGGAAACTTTTGACTAGTGGTCTTCTGGTCCCCATATTTTCGAAAACCCCTTCGGATCTCGAGCTTCTTGGAGACGCAAAAGCCAAAAGTATATGGTGTTTCCACTAAACAGCACCCTGACGGCCGGCCTTAGGCGCCTTTACTATAGAAAGGACCGGACCATATGATTTCAGGTCACACTGATTTTTTTGACTTATTGTTTACTTTAAAGCAACCGGGATTTAAAAGAACAGTTTTATTTCTGTTCAGGTGAACATGGACAGAGCTGGCGATGCCGAGGGAAACTTCACAGTGATTGGTCTATTGGCTGACTCAACTGTCCCGGCTGGCTGGAGCGCACAGCCTGTAGCGGCCTTTAGATACGTCAACTCATCGGATTTATTGCCAGTAAGTATATTAAAATACTTCTTATTTCAGTAAGTATATGATGACGAGCATAGATAATCATGGTTTGAAAGTTATAAGTTTTTTCTCTTATTTTTTTTTACAAAAAGACAACTGCCCCGTCGAACTTATAACACTCCGCGTAGTAGGAAGTGACGAAGTGACTGCTTAAGCAACTACGCCATTCGTGCAATCTTATAAAAAGTAGTAAGCAGTAGTAAGCATATTTTTATACAACACTAGCTGTACTGTGTCCCATTGGCACATTTTGGTTGCAAAGTAAGAACAAAAATAACGCGAAAAACAGATAAAAACCATCCTTGAAAAATATCGTGTCAAAATTTGACCTCAATCGGTGCAGAACTTTTTGAATTTTTGAAGCGTACTCAAACCAACTATATTTTTATATATGTATTTAAAATAATGTAAGAATAGCTTTATAAACCTATATGGGTCCAGTATATATATTTTGACCTGCCATGGTATGGAAGTTAATACAATGTCAATTCAAGTTATACTGCGCAATAAAATCAAATAACACACTTAAAACCGGCAATTGTTGACTGCCAGGTTATATCTAGCATATAAATATATATATTCATACTTAATAAGCAGGTTAAAGTGTTCACTATACATTTGACACGTGACGAAATTGGTTACTTTATTAAATGTATAATGTTTATCTGTTTTAGCAAATAAAACATACAGTTACAATATTATCAAACATCAACAAACTGTTTACTGGACTATTGATAATTAAGGTATATTCTTTACATTTCTGCTTATTGGTACACACTTTTATGACGTGAGGTACATATGTACATTTAATAATACTACTAAACACACATAATAATAGAAATTACCAACAAAATATTTTCAGACTTTGCCTTAACATTGTATTCAAACTTTATTTCTTTCACTAAATATATTTTTTAAGGTACTGTTGGAGTAAAGTATTATCTTGTTCGTTTGATACGCTTTTGTGTAACTTGAATAGTATTAAACAGCCTTGCGAACTGTGTGCTACTTTTCAAAACGTAACTCTATTTTACTATGCACAGAACTTATTTTGGTATATACATTATTAAGAAACTTATGCTTTTGGAATTTCTCGGGTTTGATCATTGAATTCTGTATATTGTATCGTCTTTTTTTTATAATAAATAACTCCGGCACTGAGAATATATCCTGAGTCGCGAGGGACTTTACAAACATATGTTTGTTCATGTGAAACGGATACAGAACATACCCAGACTTAGAACAACAATTTGTGGATGATGTAAAGTGTTGTCCCTCAACACTCAGCGTACTCGCGAGGCGGTATCATCACAGTTGTTGCTGTGTTGTAGATACACGATTTTATCTGTCTCGTAGCTGTACGCGTTTTCATAACATTGGACACTTTAGTAGGTATCGAGTATTAAGGTTATTTGTTGTTGACCGTTCGTGTCAAGATCGCTCACGTACAATACTGCGTTACTTTGCTAGAGCATTTTAAATTTAATCTTATTCTGCGTATTCCTCTTGCGGATATTATCCGAAAATGGTGTGTATTTATGTATAAGTTTGAGAAAATTGGATTACTTATAGAAGTTATAGGAATTTTGGCAATTACTATTTTGTATCTATTGCTTTAAAAGTTCTTGATATTAAAAAAAATATTATAAATAATTTATCTCACTAACTTTCAATCGCGTTTAGCAGTAAACATTACTACACAACTCCTAAGGTTCGTAGGGTAATGTTACGTAGCCAATACTCTATCTACTACAAAAATATTTTTTTTAATGTATTAAAATTCCTAAACAAAAAAACAATCAACCCAAAAACTTAATTTTTACGTTAGTATAAGTAGATGACCGCATGACTTAAAAAAATTGTCTGTTAGCATAGTTATATAGTTCAAACATCCATTTTCCTAAATTTATTCTTTAATTTTGTTACTTACCTTTAATTGTTTTTTTTTTGTTAATCCTTTTCTTATTTCACTTTCACTCGTGTTACTATTGGTGCATGTTTTCAGGAAGGGTGTTTGGTCAATTTTTTTCAAAATTGCCATTATAGTGTCCATACTTTTTTTTTACACTACGATCACTGAAAGTTCAGTCAAAGTAAAAATCTTTTAAAATTGAAAAAAATATATATTATTTTGAATTAATTTTTGTTCAAAAACTACAGGCATTCTGGATTTTTTAAGAATTGTAATGGATTGCACTATTCAGGTTGTCGTTAAAAAAACAGAATTATTTGAAAAACTATGTTCGTGACAGTTAAAAATATCATAAGGGGTATATTTTCTCGAGTTAACAAATTATTATTGTAATTTTAAAAAATGAGATATATTGATTTTACTTTTTTTCTTCGAGTAATCTAGTAGGTATAAGCAGATCCATCATTTGGTGATGGCTTATTGTTGAATTTTGGGACAAATTGGGATTGGAATTTTGGGATTTTGTATAACGGGACACTTCGTTTAATTTTAAAGAGTCTGGAACTTTGTATATCTGTGTTTTGTGTTGTATTTTGTGTTTACTTAGAATGTATAATTATAGGGCGAAATGTAGTAACTTTAATTGGTTCAATACGAATAGACCCCAATTCCCTTGGCTAGGTCGGACGACTTAGGTAACAGTTTAATTTAAATTACTGCAAAATTAACCCAAGCCCAAGATAAACATTGCGTGAGCACGATCATTTGTTGTAATTTGTCTATAACCAGCTATTGCTTATGACTCGCGTGTAATCGCGGTAAAAAGTAGCCAATGTGATGATGTAGCTTTCCATTAGTAAAAGAATTTAAAAAATCGGTTAAGTGGTTTAGGCGTGAAAGCGTTACCAACAAACAAACAAAATAACTCACTTTTACATTTATAACATAAGTGTGGAAGTATGGATATGTATGTATTTAGGAATATATAAGAATGTCTATTTAGAACTAAATGTAGCCGGTTGACGCCAATGTTTGCCACCTATTACGTAAATGGTGATAAAGTTATAGTCACCAAAATGTGGGTATTTCATACGCCTCTATATATAGAGGCGTTTGAAATGCCCACATTTTAATTAGGGAATACTTAGGGGTAGAAGGGGTATGGGACTAATCCCGCCCACATGCCCACCACTGTAACTCCTGTACACCAGGATCCACAGCAGTGACCCACGAACACACCGAGTTATGACACTCGGGAAGTCCCAGGAAGAAATTAAACTGTCTTGGAACCCGCAACGAAATTAATCAGAAGAAAATTGGAGGAGTTGGAAATACAGTAAATCCACTTCCCTCCTTAGCAAAGCGGGAGACAAAATGAAATAAAATGGGCATACACCCTTTTAAACAGGGAAGCACCACGGCCACGAAATGTTACGGGTCCTACGTGAGCTATATTTGATTTCTATAATATGTATGGCAGAATCGCCTAAACGCACGGAAATTCACCCTAGTTGACACAAGATCCCCATAATATACCGCCCCAGATGTCACCTGCAAGGTATACAGCATTATATTACGTTCATTATACCAAAGACTACATTCCCAGAGGATATGATGAGCAGACTGTTCATAGTGAGAGTTAGGTGTTGAGCATTGACACAATGGTGACTCGACTAATTTAAATGAATAAAGCTTGCTCTTAAAGTTACCATGACCCGTAAGAAATTGAGCGACACAGTGATCCACCTCAAGCCATGTCCTCGACAACCGTTCGCGAACAGATGGAAAGAATTGGTAAAGGGGTATACCTTCAGGAATAAAGACTTGAGTATACCTTTATATCAATAATAGCATTTGCCAGCGGCTCCACTTTCGTGTATGTCGGTTATCGAGCCAAAAAGTAGCTTATGTCCTTACCCACAACTCAAACTATCTTCGTACCAAATTTTATCCAAATCGATTCAGCGGTTATTAATTTTCCATGCAAACTTCCATACCATTGTGAAATATACGATATTATTGCGGTTTAAGAGTAGTTCAAGATTATAATTAATCACTTACAGAGAAAAATACAATACTAAACAAAAATATATTACCTAATTCGCGTAGTTAGTAAGGTAGTTGTAAAAAGTTTTTTATGACTCGGGTAGATTAAATGCTTTCTATAAAGTTGCGAGTTTAAGAATGTTAGTAGACAAAACAATACATGTTTGTTAAGGCCTATGACTTATAGTCCATCAACGTCGTGCGCGTCCGTCCGTCCGTCCGTCGCGGGGTGACAGACGGTGACGGGGACGAGGTACTCAAGATGTCAGCGGGTAGCGGATGCTGTAGCGGGGAAGGGAAACGCGTGCAGCCGTGTGCTAGATTGACGCGCTACCTCGCCCCCGCCACTGTCTGTCACCCCGCGGCACGGTCGCGCACGAGATTGCCGGGTTATAGTGAGACGTACCTGTAGATTGATGTCAAACATTTTATTTCTTATTATAGTGACAACAGTAATTTCAAATGTTTTGTAAGTAGTTAGTATATTTTATAAGCGGAGTTTAGTGCTTGTGGGCCGGGAGAGTTCTAAACCTCGCCCGGTCCCACCCGCCATCTCCTTCGCAAGCATAACTTACTCGCAGAAGGAGACGGCGGAGTTCCACTCACTCTCGCTCCGTACCATGGCGGCAATCATACTACCGAGCGAGATGACTCCCACCCCGATGGCCACCACGAGGTCACGCCTCTGCTCCAACCACGCCGGGCATTCTGCCATCGCCCATCGGCCATCGCAGTGCTGGCAATCAGGCGTTTGCTCCTTGCGGATCAGACACAGGTGATCTCCGAAACAATCTTTTCCGGTGATCACCTGCGTCAGTCGGAGCCAATCCTTCATAACGGGTCTTACCGCCGCAATAACAGCGTGCCCGGCACTCGGTTGCCCAAGTCGTTCCTTCCATGCTCGCCTGTCCTAAAGGCAACTGCAGTAAAGTGGTTCCTTAATAAATCTGCAACACCTTAGGGATCGCTCACACCAGACACTCGCCGGTAGGTAAGGACGAACATACATTTACAATTTAAAATGAAC